GGGCCCGTCCTCTTCCTGGAGGAGGACCACTACCTGGCGCCCGATTTCTACCACGTCCTGAAGAAGCTGTGGGCCCTGCGGGGGCGGGAGTGCCCCGAGTGCCAGGTGGTCTCCCTGGGCACCTACGGCCCCGTGCGGGGCGGCTTTGCCGGCCGCGCCGACAAGGCAGAGATGAAGACGTGGAAGTCCACCGAGCACAACATGGGCATGGCCTTCGGCAGGGACACCTACCAGCAGCTCATCGACTGCACGGACGCCTTCTGCACCTACGACGACTACAACTGGGACTGGACTCTGCAACACTTGACTGTCTCTTGTCTTCCAAAGTTCTGGAAGGTGCTGGTTCCAGAGATCCCCAGGATTTTTCACACGGGGGACTGCGGCATGCATCACAAGAAATCCTGCAGACCGTCCACCCAGAGTGCCAAAATCGACTCTCTCTTGAACAGCAACGGGCAGTACCTGTTCCCTGAAACGATGAGTGTCAGTAAGAGGTACTCCATGGCACCCCTGGCCCCTCACGTCAAAAACGGGGGCTGGGGGGACATCAGGGACCATGAACTCTGTAAGAGCTACCGCCGGCTGCAGTGAGGATGGTCCCTCGCAGCCTTTTTCCTTTTTCAGTTGTTCTGTACTGTCTTTTACAGGCGCACACGTGTATAGATATATACAAAAAAACAACAACAAAAGGCATTTATGAGTTGGTTTCTGCTTTAAGATGAATAAAAATTCTTGGAAAGGGTGTCCCAAGATAGTAATTTTTCACATTTGGCAGTTGTGTTTTGGGAACGAGGTCGCTCGGTGCCCCGACGCAACGAGCGGCCGCTGCTCTGTCTGCTGGGAGGAGAAAAATTGGGTCTGAATTGGGTGTTTTCTGGTGCTTCCAGTGCTCTGGTGGGTGCCTTCCCCCACGGGAGCAGAGCGGTGGGGTCGGGGAGCAGGGATTGGCACGGTCCTGGCCCCTCCTGCCTGGGGTCACCTGGTCCCTGCTGCCTGCAAGGGGTTGAGTGAGTAGCTGAAGGTAAAAATAAATTTCATTGTTTTTACTACAATGTAGCTAAATATACAGTTGTTTTTTTTTTTTTTTTTTTTTTAAGTCTTGCCAAAATAAAATTCAGTTGTTTTGTAACACCAGAGTTCTTGATTCTCCCAGAAAGATGATGTCATCTTGTGTTGCTGGAGGGAAAGTCAGGAGCAGGGGGGTGGGAGGGGGTGTCGGGTCTCTAGTCCAGAGGGCTGACCACACAGCTCACCCCTTGGAGCAGTGTGCCTTTAACATCATTAAATCTTTAATGAGCCTCACTAACCAGGGGGGAATAGAGTAACCAACGCGTTGCACGACACCTCTTGTGTTCAGATCCAAAACAAGATAAAGAGTTTGTTTTTCAAAGAAGTCAGCTGTGTAAAGGGGGCCAGTAAAAACTACCCGTGGTACACTGGGAGGGTGTGGAGCTGGTCCTGTCCCCCCCTGGACTCTCATCAGTGGCACCTGGAAGCACAACTAGAAGCAGCAGCACTTCCAAAGCTTTGTGTAGAGCAGGGGTATATTGAAGAAGGAAAATGGCACATTAAGGTGATAGACGTGGGATATTTAGAGGTAGATTTTACACCAAGAGGTTTGAAGTGGAGGGAAAAAAGGCTTTTTAATGAGCAGAAATATGGTTGGGGCTCTCAGGACTCTGCTACAATGGTTCTGGGAGCAGAGGGCCTGGAGCAAGGTTGTCCTCTTCCTACCTACTTCATGGGTTGCCAATCCATCAGTTAAATGTTCGTTTGAGAGCACACCAAGTTTTCTGTCAAAAAGTAGTATGTAGAGGTTTATTTTGCCTGTGGTGAGATGCTCTTTTTTTCTTTCCAGGAGTAATTTCATTGCCAGGAATTTGTACCAGCTTTGGTCCTTGCTCTGTTGGTGGAGTTTGACGGGGCTGATGCTGGAGAAGCTGGGCCTGGGCGCTTCGCTGCCCAAACTGAGGAGGGGGTTAAAATGAACCCCAGAAGGCAGGTGCTGTGGCTTCCACAGAACTTCAGCAGCAAAACTGTTAATGCCACATACCCCTGCTGCAAGGACTCGCTTTTAACAGAGACATAAAATCATAGAACAGTTTGGGTTGGAAGGGACCTTCAAGGTCACCTAGTCCCACTCCCCCATAGACAGGGCCACCTCCCACGTGTCAGAATAACACCAGGGCAGCTGTGAAACAAGTCAGATTTAATGTTCTTCTCAAGCCCATTTGTGTCCTGTAGAACTCAAAGGAACGCAGCAGTTATTTCAGAAGCAGTGAGAAAGGGAACTGAAAGTTTATTATTAGACATGTTCTTAAGAGATGAAGCAGCACAGAGCCTGCTGAAGCTGGTGGGGAACTGGTTCTGGAAAGTAAATCTGCCCTGGATGATGGGAATCCGTTTTACAAACTGTAAATACTTGGGAGCAGCAAGAAGAGGGGATGGTTTTACTGCACAATCAAACTGTGGCTGACAGGCCAGGGTACATCTGGATGCTGTGCTCTGAAGCAACTTACTAGGCTGGAATACATGGTATAAATGTTGGTTATTTCTAGGAGGCTAATTAGAACTTCTCCACATAATTAGAAATTTCATTGAATTGCTAAAAAATTACTGCCAGTTGTCACCTAAGGATGGGTTTGAGGACTCACAAATGCTGTTCATTTCTAGGTGGACTGAACCCAGGAGCTCCCAAGGGAGCTGTCAGAAGGAGGATCTATACAAATACTCCCTGGAACAGAGCAAGAGGCTGTGAAAGTTCTGTAAAGAATGAAGACAGGTTTTCTTCCCCGAGCTCAGATTTACTTTCAAATGCATCTTTATTGTAAGAAAAAACTGTTTCAGCTTGTACGTGTGATTAGAAAACTCACCCATTAGAACAAAAAAAAAAACCACCCCCAAACCAACTTGTGCAACTAGAAAACTCCAACACAGTAATCCAAAACTTATTAACATTAAATTATTAACAAGTATTCTACGCTGACAAGCAAACAAAACTGTCAGCAG